TCTCACTTGAAGATCGAACTCTGAACAAGTCAGTACCTTCTTGAATTTTACGAAAGCTTGTCGAGCTTGCTCAATGCGACATTTTACTTCCCTGTCCGATGCCCAGTCTTCAAAAAGCCACGATCCCAGGTATTTAAATTTACTCACTCTTTCAATGCACTTAGTATTCAGTGTTATGGTGAAGTTTTCAAGTGCATCCAAGTTTCTGGAGATGATCATGAATTTGGTCTTTTTGGTATTAATCTCTAATCCCATTCGCTTACTGTATTCTCCGATTATAGTGACAAGTTGTTGAAGATCGACTATGTTGTCACAAATTAAGACACCATCATCAGCATAATTATCGTATGTTGTTGATCAATACTCCATTCACTTTGATTCCCATCTCTGCATCCTCCAAAGACTCTTGAAATATGGCTTCCGAATAAATGTTAAATAAAAGAGGGGAAAGCACACATCCCTCTCGAACGCCCCTTCTTATATGTATAGGTTTGGATATAGAATTGTCTATTTTTAACTGTGCCGTTTGATGCCAGTACAAGTTTTCAATGCATCTTATGTCTTTTTGGTCTATATCAACTTTCTTCAAAAGATAATCTAGTAAAATTGAAATTTATTAAATAAATAACTAATAAATATTACTTACATGCCGATACAAGGATTATTATTTAGTGTTTTATGGTTCCATAGAAAACATGGTTCAAACTGTTATGGTAAACTGGTGACGGGTGATCATCGGTTTTATTGTAACTATTTAACAAATAGAGGGGAAAGTAATTTGGGGAAAAATAATATTAACAACTAAACTAGAAAGTAGGTATTGTGTAGATTGTTTGTTTAAATTCAAGCGATAAAGCGATATATTTTTAAAAATGTGTGTTAATTAATTGAATTTATTTAGAACAGACAGCACTATGATAATATATAAAAAGGTAGATGTAAAACTTTTGGGTGTGCAATAACTTCAACTTGTAATTATCAAATTATGATAAATCAATTTGGAGTGGAAACACATTCAAAAATATACGACAGACATTTAATTTAAAAGGGGACACTTAGTGGCACTACATCACTGGCAAGGAGAGGAAATGGCAAAAAAGGACTGGTTTTTTGTTGTCTAATAATTTTTTGACAGGTAAAAATTAATAAGTTGAGATAGTTGTAGGTTAAAGTGTGACAGTTCTTCTTCTATACATTAGTACTGTAAATATGGTTACCACCTATATGATGTGAAGTAAAAATAAATGACTGAAGTAGTGATAAAATATTTATATAAAATGGATATGGAAGTATAATATTGTAAATAATATTTATTATTTAATATTATATTGCATTAGCAAGTTGCTAATTCCCCCATGTCCATAAATAAAACCAATTTTATACTAAAACTGCAGCTTAATAATGTTTTATTTTTTATTCTTCTATAAAACATTATACTTACTAAAATACAAGTAACTCAAACAAAAAGCACAACATATCGCAGGAGTCCTCTGTAATAGTTTTTCACCTTTCCTGAAAATTTTGATAGATGTGACTTGGCGGATTTTGCTTTTATATTCCTCATACACTTTTCTGTTTATTTATCATATGGTCCCTGAGTGTATATTAAACCTAGAGATAAGATTAATACTATTACAGGAATTAATACTAAACTCAACGGTCTTCCGCGTCGATTATCATTCTGCTGAGCTTTCACCATCCTCTTCGATGTCTTCTTTAGGGCTTCCGAGGTTTCGGTTTCCCGAGCCGCCAGACATTTCTAGACTGATTACTAACCAATGTATTACTGGGAATATAAGACGGTTTATTTATACGGCAAATATTTATGACGGTAGGATTTTAATTAACGGTTGAAACTAACGGCATTTTCTTTATAAGAGGTCTTCAAGTCGAAGGTAACCATATGCTATCAACTCTCTTATTGAGACAATTTAGTTTTTTTTCAATATCTATATTTCTTTCTTTTTCCCATCCGCTTCTATAAATCAAGAATTATCCGAAAAACCATAGAAATTGGAAATAGATCAAATTGTCTTAATAAAAGAAATGACGGCATACGGTTACCTTCGACTTAGACCTCTCATAAAGAAAATATCGTCCGCTCCACCCATCAATCAAACTTCTACTGTCAAAAATGTTCGCGACAATCCCCGCGCCAATCCCCTCGCCAATCCTTATTCCTACCTCCACACCAACCTCCACCCAAACCACGTCACCATCGAAGGTATAAATAAACCGTCCTGTATTCCCAGCACCAGTAATACATTGGTTAGTGATCAGTGTAGTAGTGCCTGAGAGCTCGGAAGACTGACATCTTGGAAGCCCTGAAGAAGACTGTTGAGTTCAATATACCAATAAAACTCCACTTTTAGTTTCTAGGCGCTTCGTCTAGAGATTAGCAACCTCCAGTGGTGTCTTAGGTTGCCATGTAACCAATTCCGGTTATAACCTAAACATCATAGCTAATAATTTTAAAAAATCTAACTCAATGCTAATTTAACAACTTTTAAAGGGTTTTTACCCATATATTTAGTGACTTCAAACATTTAGATCCAGATATCACTGATGATGTAATATTAATTCCGAAAAGGTTCTGTGATAGTGTTCCCGATAGTGTTATTATACCTTTGATAAAGGAATTTTTTAATAAAATTTTTACAATTTAAAAGAATAACAATGGACATATTTAGTAATAAATACTGAATCATCATAAACCTAGCTGTTCATTATGACTTTCCATAATTCTTACTCAAATATAACTAAGCTTATAACAACTAATTAATTAAATTTAAAAATAAATATTCAACTATGTACTAATTTGTAAAAGTGTATAACATACATGGCGCATCCGCGAAAATAGGCCAAAAATATTTTCATATTTAGACAAATTAAATTTTTTATTTGAATATTTATTGAATTTTATGTAAATACTGAAAATAGTAAGCAGTCAACTGTGAAGGTAAACACACCATCTAAAATGCATAAACAAATTCGTGAAAGCCAGGAAACATATTTAATACCTAAATACATTTCTGAGCCTATTATAAACCCGAATTTATTCTCCTAGGATTTTCGCACGATTCATTGTCGTTATCTGTCCTTACTTCGTGTCATTTGCAGATATATTTATTTATAAGTTCCATTTTCTGTTACACTAATAGTAACTCTGACACACAGGAAAAATTTGATGTTCTTGTTGTTTGAATATATCTATAAATTCACTTCTAGGTGATATTTTGGAGTTGATATTTAGTATCATTTCGATAGCTTCAACAAGATCGTCTGAAATTACTTACATATGAAAATTTCTTGGCCTGATTGTAAAAAGTCAAATTTATGCTCCGAAGATATTTTGTTTTTCTCCAGTACATATTATCTAGCGGTTTTTCAATACTTTTATCTCCTTCAAATTTCCTGTTGTCAAGACACTTCTGCGAAATGCAGGTGCATTGTTCTGACGGAAAAGGATTTTTATTTGAAGTTGAGAGTAACATTTTTTGGATATATATATATATATATATATATATACATATATATATATATATATATATATATATATATATATATATATATATATATATATATATATATATATATATATATATATATATGTATATATATATACATTTCTATTTCACCCTCAGATATATTAGTTAGTTTTGATTGTCTCTTTAGTCACCAACATTCCCACTGATAAAACTATTTTCATCTTGGACTCTAAACATTATATTCCCCAAGACACATTATCTCTAATAAAACACTGCATATTTAAGAAGACATATTTTTCATTCCAAAATCATTTCTATCGCCAAATCAAAAGTGCCCCAATGAGAACCTCTCTCTCTCTCTCCCGTGATAGCTGATATCTACATGGAACATTTCGAAACATCATCAAATCTAAAACCCACCTGTTATTTACGGTACGTTCATGACACCTTTGTCATTTGGCTCCATGTTAAAGACACATTAGTTCTCGTCCGCTCCCACCTGAATAGAATATATTCCAGCATTTAATTCACGATTAAAGTTGAGTCTGAAGCGTCTTTGCCATTAATTGATGTTCTTATTCAGAAAAACCCACCTTATAGTTTTTCCTATTTCGTGTAGGGGAAACCTACTCATACAAACCGTTATCTCAAAGTTACATCGTCACCACGCCCAAGTCAATTCAGTTATAACACTCTTATTTTTCGTTCTATAAGACTTAGCGACAACAATCACAGGTCATCTGAAATCAATTCGATAAGGCAAACACTCATACAAAACGGCTACCACAAAACCCAAATCAATAGAAGCATTCAAAAACATCTAAATCATCCAAAAAGAAACCTTGCCGCCTGATCAATCCAAAATCTTTCTACCTTTTATTAAAGGTGTCACTGACAAGATCAGTAGAACTCTTACCCCCCTAAATATCAAAACCATCTTCACTACTCACTCCAAGTTCCAAATCCCAATGAAGACCATGGTGTCTAGGAAATACTTTGTTCCAGTTGCCCACGTTCATACATAGGACAGACAAACCGACAAATCCATAATCGTATTTACAAACATTCTCTATTAGTCAGACATTCCGATACTACTTCAGCCCTAGCACAACATCATATTTAGAGAGGCCACAAAATAGATTTGGAAAAAGCAAAAACCATCGCTTCCATCCGCTCCTTCAGTTCGAGAATTATTCGTGAAGCCATCGAAATTGAAAAGTGTTAATTTTTAAATATCTGCTTACTTTCCGTACTTATGTCATGATAAAAATATGTAAATAGAAATTGTAAAATAATTGTTTACAACAAATGACTGGCCTATTTTCTTTGGCGCGGTGTTTAAACCTAAGTCTAAATCATTAAATGCATATATAATGCATTATAAAACCAGGTATTAAAATCATTATAAATCACTGCATCTTAATGTCTTATTTGCCATTCTGCATATAAGTGTATCATACATTCTAAAAGCCTAAAATCTTTAACACACTTAACACTTTACACATCTTGTAGGGCCGGCATTGGGCCATCTATGCGGGGGATGCAATGGGGCCCTAACAGAGGTTGAAAAAACAAAAATATTACACAGGTTTTCTGGACATAATAGAATAACAAAAGCAAGAAGTAATCCTCAAGAATCAAATAGGATAGTATATGATGACTTCTTAGGAGAGGTAAGCAAGTGATAATAAACGTGCATTCACTATATTTGTTCCAAGTAAAATCGTTGATCAGAAAACGAAATTAATGGGACATCTCTATTTAATTTTTTATAATAACCATAAATATAATCTTAAACAAGTTATAAAAATTAAACAGAATCTAACAAAATAAATTAGTATATTTAATTAATAAGATAATATAAGGTGTAGCCTACTCTAGGATCATTTTCGTTGTCATAATTGTGACATAGTAGGCACTATATGTACAATGCTAGTCAAAAGTCCGTTCTTTTGTCTCGCATCGTTTAAATGGATATTATAATAGTGAAATTTGAAGGGAGGTAATAAACAGACGTAGGCTTCTTAACTAGTCATAACAAGTGACGTAATAGTGACCGATGACGTTATAATGCCACTGTGATAGAAAAATTTAGTCATAATTATTTTGTTTGAGTTAATTTTGCTGAACATAATTCTCATTTTGATGAATAAATTAAATTAATAGTAAAATTGTAGCTTCTCATTTAATTAATAAAAAATATTTAACAACCAGTTCTTATAGTAAGTGTTGAAAATGTGCTTTATCTACTTCCAGACAGTAATGCATACTATTAATAAACTCTTGTCGTACAAGTTCAAATGTGTCGGGGGAAATTTCTCTGCATTGGTCAACAATGTGTTGTTTCAAAATGTCAATATTGTCGGGTGCTCTAGCGTAAACTTTAGATTTCAAGTATCCATACAGAAAAAATCTAATGGTGTGAGGTCCGGTTACCAAGCTGGCCATTCTATCGTACCTAGTTGTCCAATCCATCTACCCCGATATTCCTCATCTAGGTAACATCTTACTGCACCATGTAAGTTGGTGTGCACCAATAGTGTGCAGGAGCACCATCTTGTTTAAATGTTATTTACAAGTTGCCGAATTTATCTGGATTATTCTCCAGAATTTTAAGTATTAACGGTTCAATTGCATGTTGTAACATACCAGATAAACTTTACCGGTTAAGTTAGTATTGAGCAAAACAGGCCCAACTATGTGGTTTCCCAAAAATTTTACTATTATAAGTATAACCGTTGCCTATGCCTATGAGATTATCATTTCGACACTTATTAACGAATGAATTTCCTGTATGCATAACTTTAAACTCTCCTAAACCTAGTTTCTGAACTGTAAAACTTTATAAGTAGTATACGCACGAAATTCTATTCTATTACTTTTAGACATTTTAGTAAATATAAAGGCTTAAAGATAAATCCTCTATTTTTAGTTTAAGAAAAATAGGCGGGGATTCAAAACAGGGTCGTAATGGAACAGGTTTTCTAATTGGCAGTTAATTGAAGAAAAAGAACAAGCTATCTAACTTAACAATAGGAATAGTGAATATACAACTTACAAAACCAAAAAAGAGCATAAGGTAACATGGGTAATACCAGAATTAACTGATGGTAACCAAAAAGAAAATATTTGGATTTCAAAAAAGAAGAAAAGAATATTCTAAGATGACAGGCTATATCGGAGTGCAAATCCAGATTTTGACCACTTCTTAGTAATAGGAGAGATAGAATTGAAAATAATTAAAAACACAAAGAAATACATTAAAAGAAAAAATTGAAATGAAGGAAAACATAATTCATAAAAATTATTCTAAAGAGTTGAAAGCAAATTTATAAATTTCAAACCCTAACAATCTAGAAAAAAGTGGTATGAAATAAAAGGCCACATTTTGATAGCAGCAAAAAAAGGATACAACGATGACTACGAAGCAGCAGCTACGAAAAAACCTAGCCTGAACGATATGGCTGAAGACAAGTAGTGAAAAAGACTTGAAAAAATATAGGAGAAGAAAGGGAGATTTGATTCCAAAACATGGGAGAAGAATTTTAAAGAGGTAATTAAGAAGAAAGTATTTGGGAAAAATAAAAAATGCCCAAAGAATGGAAAACAGGATGGATACTTCTACTCTAAGCATACAACGCAACAACTATAGAGACATAACATTGTAGAACAGCTGCTACAAAATATTGATATCATTAATCGACTTGCAAAAATCATTAAAATTAAAATAGGAGACCACCAGCAGGGATTTAAAGGAGAAAAATAAAAAATAGATGACATACACATAATCACACAAGTAATTGAGAAAGTGCATGAATATTTTTCCATGTGGCAGAAGATCGAGATATCTTCGCAATGGTGATCGCCAACATCGGCTTATTCTAATATGGTACGCAAAGAAGTAGAAAAATGAACATGGTATTGACTTATTCATCCTCTTTATGGATTTCAAGTAAGCAATTAATCGCCTAATAAGACCAGACCTACCTACCCTAAACAATTTAAACTAAGTATTTGCGAAATTGTGCAAGAAAATATACAAGAGGATTTCGGCAATAAACCAAAATCAAACAAAGTATTTGGAGGTACTTGGTATTAAAAATTGGAGAAGATGAGATCGAAAAGGTAGAACAATTTAAGTATTTAGGGGTCTTAGTTAAAGGAACTAATGGCAGAAGTAATGAACAGAACTTACTGGAAATACAACAACAACAACTTTTGCTGCTGCTAATGGATTCAGTTTTCTAAAATATAAGAAGCTTAGTTTTCTCCATTGAAAATTCTAAACTTAAAATTTACAGAGCAGCAATTAGATCAGTAATAACATGTGGTGCATAAGTATTCTGCGTGACATAGATTAAGAAATATTAAAAATTTTAAGGAGAGAAATAATTCGGGAATAGCAGGTCTACTAAAATTTAAAAAGGAGACCACATCATCAGATTTATTCTATTATAGAAGACGCAAAAGCTCATATCAAATTAAGAATAGGTTCGCTTTTAATACTATAAGTCTAATTGAGAGACGATTTGTCTGACAAAGAAATAAACGATTTAAAAAAAAAGTAAAAGAGTTTATAGTAAAAAAAAAGAATCTGCTCACCTGCCCACACCTGTCCACCTCTTACGCCTAGCGGCGTATTAAAAGACGTCACTGTTTTCCACGACTTTTAAAATTTTCCCACGCCCAAGTATCCCACGCTTGACTGGCCTTTTACCTAGGTACCCTAACGCTTTTTGAGTAAGCTCGCAGATATAGTCGTACGGGCCAGATAAACCTTGATCTTTCAAAGAAATATTATTCCCAATTAACCTACCATTAATTTTGGCTTTCTCCTTATGGCAGGCAGTTAGGCTTTTCTTCAGAAGCAGAAGCTTTTAAAATTTATTTATTTTTTAATATGAATTTAACAACAAAATGGTAAGAAAAATAATAGCAGAGTTATAATTTGCTGCTGCTAATGGATTCAGTTTCCTAAAAATATACTTTGTTCAGATTTTTATTAGCTTCTTTATTCGAAGTGACATTATGATACATTTCTGATACCATTCTAATAAACAAAAATATAAAACGTACCTGGACTGTCACAAATTTAAATCCCCTCTCATTTTTTTTTCAACTCAACACTTGTTGAATTGCGTAAAAGATATTAAACAGTACAAAGTCAAACAACACGAGACGTTTCTGTTAATTTTATGTTGCACACAATTGCTCCTATTGTGCAGAAATTGATTTGTTTTTTTTTCTTGTTTTAGTTTAAAGAGGTGTTTGTTAAATTTTGTTTAATATTTTTAAATTGTTTTCTTACAATAATTAACAATAAAGATAAAGAAGCATTCAAAAAGGGTTTGGCAATAAACCAAAATCAAACAAAGTACATAAGATCCGATAAGTACTTAGTCTACAAATGAAAAACGAAAATTTTGAAAAAGCGGCGCTTTATTTTTTAACATAGTCTCTTTTTAGCATGATACATTTTGACCAAGCGATCCTCCAACCTCTCTAACCCGTCTAAAAAATACGTTTTCTCGAGTATATCGTGGCGGCGATGTTCTCTTCATTCGACTCAAATTTCTGCACGGCGAATAACTTTTTTAAATTTGGAAACAAAAAAAAAGTCACACCTGTAGAATGCTGTGACCGAGGCTGCAGTTCATATGGCAATTCGACCCATTTGGCCATGACCATGACGGTGATGTGAGCTGATGAGTTCTCATAGCAAAAGTGAGCTTTTCCTTCGCCAAATTGTCACGGTTTTTCTGCAATTCGAAATCAAATCGACCGAATATTTCAGAATAGTATGTGATCACCTTGCACTTCTCCAGCTAGTGGATGTACATCAGAGCTTGTGAATCCCCAGAAACGGTGGCCATTACCTACAAGAATACGAATACAAATCATGAATAATTTTTTCACGTGGTAGCCGTTTTCGGAGCACCTGAGCGTGACTTATCAAAAACCAACGTGCGACCACATTGAAACTCGTTAAACCAATCTTTGACCGTCGCCATCGAAGAAAAAGACTTACCATACACAGCATCCAGGCACTCCTTGAATTTACTGTGTGATTTCTCTTTACAAAACATAAATTAAATCACTGACCGATATTGCTCTTTTTAATCCTTGAACACCCTCGTTTCCTCGCGCGGTCAAAACAAAACTTCGATTTAAATTTTGAAATGAATCGTCTACGTGAATGTAGTACACAACGATGTAATATACAAGCGTTTCCCAAAGTTTTTTGGTCGAGGAGCACTATTCAGGACAGAAATTTTATAGTGAGGAGCTGAAACCTAGCTTTACAACCCTGTGTGGGCCCTAGCCTCCCAAGAATTTTTTTCCAGTTGTCCCTATCCATCGCCTTCCTCCACCATTTCCATATTTCTCATATCTTGATCTATGTTATCTATAAATTTTGTGCTGGGTCTTTCTCTTCTTCTTTGACCAATAGGTCTATCAAGGAGCGTTTTTCTAGCTGGGTCGGTTTGCTTCATCCGCATTACATGGTCTACCCACCTCAGACATCTTAATGTGTTTTACGATATCTGGTTCCTGGTATATTTTATAGAGTTCAATGTTCGTCTTCTCCAAACACCATTTTCATTAACCGCTCCATAGATTCGCCATAGTATTTTATTTTCGAAACATGCTAAAATGTTTTCATTGCTTTTTG